CGTCGGCGCAGCCAATCGCAGCGCGCGCCACACCGAGCGGGAAAAGGCGGCACGTGCCGGGCAGGGGGGCGGAGAGGGCAGAGGTTCCACCTCCCGAGCTCCGTGCTCTCCCGACCGCTGCGATCCGGTGCTGGTCGTGGGGCCGGGCGCAGAGACCGCGGGGGGCAGGCTGTGGGGCCTGCTCGTACTTCCCCCAGGCTCAGGCCCCCCGGGGGTGGTAAGGGCCCTCCCTTGCTGCACTGGGTGGCGGGGTCGGGGGTAGGGTTACCATACACCTGGGTTTTCCTGGACATGTCCTGTTGGGTCCTGCCACCTCTGTTGGGGTGGGGTTTTTTTTAGAATATCAATAAACGTCCAGGGTTTTTCCTCTGCTCAGCATCGAAGTTTTTCCTAGTGCTTTCCAGTTTGCCCTAGCAAGGAGCTGCTTGGGGCTGGGGACAGCAGGGGAGGGCAACTGGAAGCAGGGGGTGCCATGTGCAAGTTTACACACATGTACCATGTACATGTGGCTAGGCAGCAGAGTGGGAGCAGTCCTGGCAGCTGTGTGCAGGGAAGTCTGTTGAGGCTGGGGGCCGGAGGGCCAGGGCTTGCGGGGTGTGAGGGAGCAGGTGCCTGCCAGCACGGGGAAGCTGTCCAGGCCCCAGGGCTGCAGCAGGGTGGCAGAGGTAGAGGAGGCACCTGGTCCTCCAGCGGGAGGGGGGAGCGTGTAGGAGCCATTCGGGGGCATTGGGTGCTGCATGGCCAGGCAGGGGGCACTGGGTGCTCACAGAGAGGGGGTAGCCTGGAGATGCTGGAGGGAGTCAGGTGTGAGGGGCACTAGCATAGCTGGATGGGCTGTGACTTGGGAGTGAGGAGCATCAGAGGGGGCAGGGGACTATACATCGGGAGTGTGGGGTACAGGCAGTGTCAGGGGGCTGTGGGTTGGAAGCAAGGGGTATCAGCAGGGAGTGGGGCAGGCCTGCAAGTTGGGAGTGCACCAGCATGGTCTGAGGGGTGGGGGACTGTCTTTTGGGACTGTGGGGCAGTATCAGGGCTGGTGGTGCTGTGGCTTGTGAGTGAGGGGCAGGGGCCAGGGCACTGGCATATCACTGCAACCCCTTCCTCCCCCCCAGTCAAATTATCTCCCCCACCCAGGTGTCCTCTTTTTTGAGACTGGAAATATGGTAATCCTGCTCATGGATGCACCAAACCATAGGGCATTGGCAGGGGGCAGGAGCAGGTGCAGAGCAGTGGGGCATCCTGGTGACCTGGGCCTCACAGGTGGCTGTAGCAGCACTGGCCCTTCTGTGCTGTGTGAACGCAGGGGCTGGAGCAGCAGGTTTCTGAGTTCTGTCAAACTCCAGGGGATTGGCTAGGTATCACCAGGGTTCCTCCCAGATGCTGCAGGCAGTGGCAGAGCAGAGCAGGCTGGGCTGTCTTGCCCCACATGGGGATATGGGCTCAGCCATGGAAGTGACAAAGGGGCTCTTGACTTCAGGAAGCTTGAAAACTGCCAAGGTAGAGCTTGGGGGAAGGGTAACAGCATGGTCCCACATAGCCTGACCTTCCCTGCCTCCTTGCCTGCATTGCGACTTGCAACAAGCCCAGCCACCTCTGTCCCTGGAAGCAAGTAGGAAGGGGCCCTGGAAATTGGAAGAAGCTGTCAGTGAATGCCAAGGACAGAATGCCTGAGCAGTGGCTCTCTCCTTCACCCTGTGGAAAGGATGAGAGCATGGGGTACTGGGGTGAGCCTGTGCTCTGACCTATTCCACACAGCCTTTTGCAGAAGGAAAGCAGAATCAGTTCTGCAGGCTTTGATAAGATAAGTCACGTGCAGGCAATTGCTGATAAATTTAAAGAAAGGGAATTGGCAGCCCAATCAGTTTGGTAATTAATTTCCTTGTTAATTTGGGTTCTTTGACTTGCCTCATAAATATTCATGAATCCCCACTTTTCTCTCACACTCTCTCTAACCCTCCCCCCCTGCTTTTTAATGTAATTTATTTACATGTTTGATACAAGCCTTGAAGGTGACATTTTCCTCCCTGAGCCAGAAACCAGCAGAGGATTGAGGCTCTTGG